GATAGGGAGAGGAAATAGCTATGTGTGGAGAGAGAGAGAGAGAGAGAGAGAGAGAGAGAGAGAGAGAGAGAGATAGATAGATAGATAATTGATGGATGGATAGATGGATGGATAGTAAATACTATAGATAGATAGACAAACAAATGATAGATACGGTAGGTAGAGAGATGATAGACTGACTGACTAACTGACTACCTGTATCCTATTCCTATTGGATGTGTTTCCTCCCCAGGTGTGTCTCTCTTTGCGGTCAGTGCCTTGGCTCTTCCTGGACAGTTTCCCGACTACCTGGATATGATTAAGTCGTTCTGCCTGGGACCCGCTCTAATTTATTCTGCCAAGTTTGCTTTGGCCCTCCCTCTGACCTATCACACCTGGAATGGGATTCGGCATTTGGTAAGCGGCCTTTTGAGCAACCAGTACTACTGCTAGTATGTCGGCCTCGCGGGGCAAACCAGAGAGGGGACGCGAGCATTTGAGTTAGTCCTACTTTGTGGGAAAGCTCCATGGACAGAATCTTGCCTGCATGAATGTATGATTCCCCACCACTTTTACAGCCCAAGAAACTGGGTTTCCTTCTCTACCCATTATCAACTGAGGGCTCAGCTGTCTCTTATCCGACTGCAGCCTCTTTTCCCCCTGCCTCCCAAGGTCTTTCCCACATGCCATTACAGGCAGTCCTCGACTTACAACTCTTGGTTTAGCAACCGTTCGAAGTTATAACAGCACTGAAAAAACAGACGGGCGATCGTTTTTCACACTTAATGACCGTTACAGCATCCCCGTGACCAAAATTCAGACACTTAGGAGCTGGTTCATATTTATTTAAGAGCCGTAGTTAGACTCCAGTTCTGCAAACAAACTCACTGCACACTGCCAGGAGTTCGATCCTGACCAGTTCAAGGTTGACTCAGCCTTCCGTCCTTCCGAGGTGGGTCAAAGGAGGACCCAGATTGATGAGGGCAAGAGGCTGACTCTGTAAACCGCTTAGAGAGGGCTGTAAAACACTGTAAAGCGGTATATAAGTCTAAGTGTTATTGATTTTCCTTCATACCTACCTTCCTTCTATCCATCTCTCCTTCCTTCCTTATTCTTTTCCTTCCTTCTTTCTTTCCTTCCTATCTTCCTTCCATCCATCCCTCCTTCCTTCCTCTTTTCCTTCCTTCTTTCTTACCTTCCATATCTACCTTCCTTCTATCCATGTCCTTCCTTCCTCTTTTCCTTCCTTCCTTCTTTCTGTCTTCCTTCCTACCTACCTTCCTTCCATCGATCTCTCCTTCCTTCCTTCCTTCCTTCCTTCCTTCCTTCCTTCCTTCCTTCCTTCCTTCCTTCTTTCTTACCTTCCTT